AAAAGTTCAAAAATGTTAGTGTGCAAATAACACATTATTCATTATCTGAAAGGGAAGTTTCATCTTCCCAATATTCTCATAAAATCTTCAAATCGTTAATTCCTTGTCTGTTGTTTCACAGGGAAACAGTGCTCACTCCATCACCCAATAATCTCTTTTCGATACTTGAGTGGGTGCAAGCTACCAATCGGAAGTTTCTCCTTAGTTTAATCAAGTAGAACCAATCATCACCCAGAATTATGCCTGTGTAAAATCAAAGGTATTTTTGATTATTATTCTGTGATGAACAAATGGGTATTGGAGATTATTGGTTTTGTTATTTGGAATTTATTCACGAAGTGGTTTTGGAGATTATTGGATTTCACAGGTGAATATACAGGTACTGCTGGATTTGGGTCCGGTTAGACCGGGCATGGGTTGCCGGTCAGACCGGCGTGTAATGCGCGGTCAGACCGGCGCAGCCCGCGGTCTGACCGGCCGACACTGTGTTGGTTTCGGTTTCGGGTTGTTTATTTGGATATCCGAGTTTTTTTCATGATTATGACTTCTAAATGGATGCTATATGTATGTAATACTATTGTTTGCTGCTAATGAGTTAAGTTGGAGATAGCTTGGTCTCGGAATATGGTTTCTTTGTTTGTTCCATGTGTAGGCGACTCGATGTCTCGGGAGAGTATTTGCGGTGATGGACCGGGAGTCGGCTTGGGGATAAGACGACGTCCGTTGTGGTCAGAGATCATGCGGGATACTTAGGCTAGAGTTGATGCACGTGGTTGATGGAGATTCCATATGGCATACGATGGAGTTATTGTGTGCGTATAGGATGCGGAGTCGAATTTGGAAGGAGTCCAAATTTGGTACGTTTGGTTATGTAAAGTTTCTTTCTTGTACTAGAGGGTTTTCTAAGGTGTTTAGGACTCCTAGTATGAGTTTGGTTCGTGGCTTTAGGCTGCCTACCTCATGTATAAATAGAGGGGGAGCGTGAGGCTTCCCGGTATCGCTTTAGAGAGCAATAGAGTTGAGTTTTGAGTTAGGGTTTCGAGTTTAGTCGAAATTTTTGTAAAGATTGCTGTTGGTGCACTTTGTAAACACAAAGAGAATCAATAAAGTCGTCATCTACTTTATGAGTTCTTCGATTTGTGTTTACTGGGTTTCGGCGGTCTAACCGGCGATCTACGGGCGGTCAGATCGGCGGGAGCACGGCGGTCAGACCGGCGAGAGCACGGCGGTCAGACCGACGGCGGCGATAGCGAGCGGCAGGCGATCTCGGCGGTTAAACCGGTAGATCAACACCGGTCAGACCGGCGGCTACGCTTCGGTCAGACCGGCTAATCTACTTCGGTCAGACCGATCTCATCGAAATTGAGGGTAACTTTTATTTTCGCTAAAAGTTTTCGGTTTTTGGGTATACCAACCATTCACCCCCCTTTGGTTGGCTTAGTTCTTGTGATTCGATCCTACAGCCTGCTGGTCTTGTAACCAATCCAATAGAACAATCTGAAGAGGTATCCAAGAGCCATGCATGAGATGCCATGATGCTCGATCTCTTGTTGCAGCTTGCATGGATGAATCATCACAATACGAAACCCCCGTAAACACGACAAGTTGATCACGAACAACCAGCACTAAAAACCTTGTGGATTAAGCCAACCCAAATACGATCAAATAAACAAAAATAAAAACCCACACGTTCTTTGCGTAGGAGCAGATAAATTATTCTTCTTCCTTGTGCAGTCAGTGGATGGGACAAACTGACGGGCATGTACAAAAACACCGCACGAATTGCAGAATAACCCGGATTGTATTGCTCATGAGAACGAAAGCGCAACGGCAGCTACGGGTTGCACAGGAATTAACTATTTATTTATTTTTGATGTCATATTTTTCATCAAAATGTAGTTAGATGTTTGTTACACTATAATTTCATATATCTACGCTGTAAATTTTTAAAACTTACGTGCACTCATTATATCTACACTTTAATTTTTAAAACTTACAGTACATACTCACTCCATTTCATATTATAAATTGCTTTGACTTTTTTAAAGTTAAATTTTTTGAAAGTTTAAGTAAGTTTATAGAAAAAAATATAACAATATTTATAGCACTAAATTAGTTTTATTGAATATTGTATTGAATATATTTTGATAGTTTATTTTTTTTATGTTGAAGTAGTTTGAGTTAGGAAAAAATTGAAATGTCTTATATCATGAAATAAGGAGGTACTCATTCCGAATTTTAATATATGATGCCATTGATGTTTTGACCAATCGTCTTATTCAAAAAATTTATATTATTATTATTTATCTTGTTGTGACTTGATTTATCATCGAATGTTCTTTAAGCATATCATAAATATTTTTATATTTGTAAAAAAAATTTAATTAAGATGAATGGTCAAACATCAATAAAAAAAAGTCAACGGTGTAATACTTAAAATACAGAGAGTAGCATTTATCATGACAACGAGAGCACAACGGCAGCCACCACACCAGGTTTGCACACCACACACCCCAGGTAGCGTAAAAATAAAAATAATAAATGAAACCCAGCGATGAGCATCTCCATTGACGATCGCGAACGTGCAACGGCGCGAGCGCACGGCGACGGGGTAACGTGCACGACTAGTGCGACCACTGTGCGCGAGCGGCGAACCGCGCGCCCAACCCGATGAGAATCCCACCGACACCACCAACCCCGCGAAGCCGCGAAGAAAACGTCCCGCGGCCAACGTGTTAATTTGGTACTACTTTGGTGTACGCGCGCGCGCGCGCGCCGTAACAGCTCGCCTCGTTCGTACATACGCGCGCCCACACGACGCCGCCGCGCGCCGCTCGCGCGCGCGTCTCACGGTAAAAACGGCAGAATTCTCCGTGCGCGACCTCGCGTTCGCGTATGTACGTCGCCTACTATTTTTTTCACCGCCCACCGGGGCGATCTGCGGGTTGGGCCTGTACTCCCTCTGCACCTAGGAAGTCGTTTAGAATAATGTTTAAGTCAAACCTTAGAAATATAAATTATAAATAGCTTTCAAGTTGTTTAGTTTAAAAATATAAAAATTATATGTATAGATTTGTCTTGAAAAATACTTTTATAAAAATATACATATAGCATTTTTTAACCAATATTTTTATAGAAATAAAAAGTCAAAGTTGTATTTTGGAGACCGTGTCGCTGTCCTAAGCGACTTCCTGGAGGGAGTACGTGCCGCATGCTGCATGAGTTGTCACTGTGTCTCGTCCGGTGTGACGACGTTTTTTCTTTTGGTTGCATTGGTTGGGGTCCTAATTACGACTACACCTTAAAACTGCATGTATTTTCAGCCATTTATTTTTGTGATCAATGATCTAAATCAATTGCTACAGTGTTCATGCTACGGTACCCCTGAACGATCTTTTAGTCCTTTTACTGCAGTAATCAATCTAATTCTTACCGTTAGATTTAGATCCAACGCAACAGCTACAACTGCATAAATCCACGCTACTACTGCATATATCCGGATCCGGGGGGAGGGGGGCAATCATTGGCATGTGAATACTTGTTCATGTGATGGGGAGTGGAGTACTGGAGTGGCGTTGCGAGTGACCACCTTGGCGAAGCTGCGAAAGGTGGCGAGCGAGTAGCTGGGAAGGAGGGAGGGACAGAGGAAGGTTCCAAGTATTTTTCCCTCTGGTGAGATCGATACGACGAATGGCAATTGGCAAATGAGTTGTGCAGCACTTTGGAAGTTTAGGGAATGCAAAATTAAATCCCTGGCCCCCAGTCCAAGAATCCAGATAGCTATGAACTTCCCAACACCAAAAGGCAATCGCATTAGCACACCATCATTAATTTATTGACCATCTTTGTGTTTTATCTGGTGGTTGCCCATACACAGATGGTTGATGACGTACGTACGTAGCTCGCCTTCAATCTTCATCCCGTTGCCGACAGAAAACATCACGCCGTAAGAGAAAGTTCAATAGTATAGCCTACTACTAACTCCAATTCATCTATAGTCAATCTAATAGCCAATTCATACAATAGTTACTTACTATACTATTAATATATGGTCACGTCTGTCATATACACATTGCATATTAGAGTCCGTGCTACAGCGGGCTATAAATCTGTAGCCCGCTGTTTTTCTCTCTCATCGTTTATCTTATTAAAATATGTTTATAGCTGACTAATAGGCTGCTATTGTACCTGCCCAAAGGTAACAAACAAAATTCCCCCAAAGTATGTGGCGTCCCAAAATTTTCTTATGGTTGTCTGTTTCAGTTCAGTTCGGTGCATTTCACCTCAATTTATTGGCAAATTTGGCGGCATTTCGCCTGCCTACGCATCAAAAGTCCAAGGCATGGTCATGGAGACGCCGCCAAATTTAGGTGTCAAAATCGATGGACGCCATTCCCAGGCTGGGACGCATGCATGCATGCATGCGCTCTTGCCGCTTGGACACAAATTTCCCTGCTTTCCATGGCACAAAAACACAAAGCACACATCACTGCTGCTAACATTACATCACCTGTGTTAAGTCATGTATGTCACCTCCTTTTCCTTTTTTACTACCTTTTTTTTTTCTGAGCCATGCAATGTTAGTATCAAGTGCTAATTATATCTCGCCCTCCTCTTCTTCATCACCATATATCATCTGGTTTAAGGGGGGAAAATGTGCAAAACATTGCAAATGAAGAGATAAGCATTACAGTACATTGCTTCCACAATTCTTTTCTGAATTCTAGAAGTGACTTGTACTAGGACAGTACTACTACTACTGCAGCACTAGTACTACTAGACTGATTATCTATTTTCTTTTCTCTGAAACGTGTGTGCCCAACGCAGAGAGAGGCCCACCTACTGACAATATTTTTGCACATGATACACAGCTAATAGAGGTCAAAAGGTCGACGAGGACCGGTGGGCCCCACCTGTCGGTGGGCCGTGGTTGGTGCTTACTGCTAATTACTAGACTGATACACTACACACATAATTAAGAGAAGATATATACCCAACACCTGCGTGCGCGTCAGTGAGGGCCGAGATCAGGCTTAAAGCCACGCACCCACCACCAACCCAGTACGAACATACACCATCCTTCTCCCCTCTTCTCTTCTCTTCACGCCTCCCTCCTCTCCTCTTCCCTCTCCGGCGACCTCCTCCTCCGGCGTCCAGCTCGGCCGCAGCGGCGGCGGCGACGACGAAGCCGGCCACACCGCCGCCATTCTCATGGCAGACAAGGTAAGAAGAGCTTTTCGCCGGACTTTGCTGTTCTAGGGTGTCCTTTCATGAGCTGGTCTGAAGATTCTGTTGTTCAGTATTGATTCTTGCCTTGCATCTTTCCTTCATTTCTTCAGTTGGGTGTGTGTGTGTGTGTGTGTGTGCATGTGTAGTCAGAACAAAGTTGATGTGTTTAAGCAAAATAAAGAAAATCGTTTTTTTTTCTTCCCTTGGGGTAGAAATATTTTTCTTGGAGAACCTGAGTCAAGTTTGGTAGAGAAGCACTTCAGGTTTATTGGAGAAATGGAGAATGTTGACAACCTGATGGCGTTCACTTGTGTAGCTAAACAGAGTGTCAGGCACGCAAGAAAACAAGCATGGTGGTAAGCAGAAATGAAGTGCAGAGCAAGCAAAAATATCTCTATCTCTGACCACCCAAAACTCCTTTCCTTGTCGCAAGCCACTTTCATGCGAAGATCAAGGCACACGTTCTTTTTTTCTTTCTTTTCCCAGCTCGTGGTTTCGTTTTCAAACAATCTTTTGAACAAAGATACAAAAGATACACGCTCCCAGCTAGTGTCCTTTTCATATTTCTTTTGATGCTCTCGAAAGAAGCACCCACTCGATTTCCTAGTTCAAGTTCGCCCACTGAATTTCTTCTTCAGAAACTGGCTTCATTTCATCTGGTTCTGCAAGAGAAAACTCCAAGATTCATTTTTATGCTCCTAATCTTTTGTTTTTTTTAAGGACAGAACAAAAACTAGGTAGTAGCAGAATTGTAGAATACTAGTAAATCCTTTCTGAACCCACAGGTTGAAGAATTAGGCAAGTCACTAATTTATTCTGCTATCTGCAACTCTGCAGTTAACTCTCAATTAAGAATTGCCAAGTGAACCACACAGTAACACCGGAAGTACCAACAGCTTCCGGATCTGCTGTTAATAATACCACTAGCTAGTAAGTACTCCATTAGTACAGCATTTACCTATCTTTTAATCCCTCGATCACATCGCTGCAGATCTCCACGGTTGTGCTCAACGTTGACCTCGAATGCGATCGATGCTACAAGAAGATCAGAAGAGTCCTTTGCAGGATCCAAGGTAGAAGCTAGTACACTATCATATGGTTTCATATCGCATTCGCATCATCAATTCATCGCCACAGTCACCAATGCAAAAGCTGCAAAGGCACGGACCTGTCTCTGTTTCGTCAACTGACATGTGGGCCCACATGTCAGATGGTTGTGTTAGTTACTGTGAGCTCGTGCGATGCTGCTGCGCACTGTAGCATATGGAGTGTGAAAAGATAAAAATGTTGGTGATTTGAGGTTGATGACGACCGTGTTCATCATGGCTAATGGCTGATGGTTTTCATGGATGATCTGTGGTGTTGTGCAGATAAGGCGAACATCAAGACGATCTCGTACGACGAGAAGAACAATGCGGTGATGGTGTCGGGGCCGTTCGACGCCGACAAGGTGTGCAAGAAGCTGTGCTGCAAGGCCGGCAGGATCATCAAGGACATGCAGGTCAAGGGCAAGGAGAACAAGGGCGGCAAGGACGCCGCCGGCGACAAGGCGAAGCCGGCGGAGAAGGACGGCGGCGGCGGGAAGGCGGAGAAGAAGGACGCCGCCGGCGGTGACAAGGCGGAGAAGAAGGACGGTGGTGGCAAGCCGGAGAAGGAGGCGGCGAAGGCGGACAAGGCCGCCGCCGCTGCCGCGAAGCCGGAGAAGAAGGTCAAGTTCGACGTCGACGACGCGCCGCCGCCGGCCGCGGCGACGGCGAAGCCCGGCAAGGTGCAGCCCTTCCCGGCCGGCATGACACAGGCCGACCTCGCCCCGCTCCTCGAGAAGCTCAAGATCGCCAAGCAGCAGCAGCAGCAGCAGCAGCAGGCCGGCCCCGAACCCCCGCGCGGCGAGCCGATCGCGCCGCCGATGATGATGCCGGCGGCGCAGGGCGTCGCCGTGCCGTCCATCTGGCCGGCGCCCGCCGGCTCCCTCTCGTGCTACAGCTACAACCCAGCAGCCTACGACCAGTCGTCATATTACGGCGGCGGCGGCTACGGCTACGGCGGCGGCGCGTTCCAGGCGCCCGCCGGGTACTACGGCGTGGCACCGCCGCCGGCGGCGCCCTACGACCACCAGGGATGGTACTACGGCAACCGGCAGCCGTACTACCACCAGCAGCAATGCTACGAGGACCCCAACGCCGGCGGGTGCAGCGTCATGTGATGGCCATCTCGCCATCGCCATCGCCATGGACGACGGGAGCAATCAGTGCGTGTGATCACTCTCGCTCACACTCACTCATCACTAGCTCATGGCCAGTGGTAAAAAAAAAGAAGAAGAAAATATTTCTTTTTTTTTTGGGTGTCGCCTTCTTCTTGTTTATTATGCCTGTGCCTTTTTTTGTTTATTTAGGGTGTTGAGTTGTGCATGTGAACAGTTGAGTTGTGATGTTCTTGGTGTCTAGTTGGATCTTCTTCCCTTTATGACTATCTGATAAATGACAATGAGAACCATAATATACTAGTAGTAAGCAGTACATTCAGTTGGAGCAAGTTGACTAATGATTAATTAGCATGAGCAAGCCATGATCAGTTGGGTTTGTTCATTAGCTCAGAGCCATCAGCCATCTGTTCTGAAAAGTACAGTATAGTTCAAAAATCAAAAGCATGGTAATACAGAATACTCCTAGTAGTACATAGATAAGCTCATCAGCTGTCAGCATGTTCTGATTTCTGAGTGATGTACCTGATTGGTTTCACTGTATAGAAACATGGGGACCCATATTTCTGTCCATTTGTTGGAACTTGGAAGTTGGAAGAGAAGAGAAGAGATGCCTATGTGGAGTACAGTAAAATACAGTGCTGGTACGTGCATGGATGAGGCTGTCCGTGCAATGTGTTTTGGTCGGCCAGATTCGTTTGTCGATCGATCATATGTGTCCAATCAAACGGCCAATCAATCAGTACAAAAAGGAGAATGCAAAGTTTGCAACTGCTGCCTACCTCCTCTCGGAAGCAAGAACTCATGCCCAATTAGCTATTGTATTAGCTTAATCAGACTCACAGCCTGGTACAGCAAGAAAGCAGAAGCTAAACCAAAAACCTGCGGCTAACACTACACTAGCTAGAAGCTCTGATTATCAGAGAGAAGGCTTCTGGGAAGCGTAAAGCAGAACATTCCTATCCTATGGAAATGAAAATGAAAATGAAATGCTGCCATGTTTTGGGATGGGACCCCTTCTTTACCATTGTTCAGAAGCTAAAGAAGCTTTTCTGTTGTGAATAAATGTTGCCTTCTTTTCTAGTAGTGCTTGATGCTGCAAAGACTTCAAGCTGCTACTACTGTGGCCAGTGAGATTGATGCCATGCCAGACAGACGATCGAATTAATAAGAAAGATTACGTGTCCTAATTAACACTTCTGTAGACCACATTCATTGAACAAAAGATATTACTTTGGTTGCTGATCAGTCAACAGCAATCAAAGGACATGTGTAAACAGTTTAATTGCGTAGAGAGAGCATTATAGAGGAACAATTTATACATTGCACTTGCAAGTCAGAACCATGCTGAATTGCTGGCCATCTGCAAAACCATGGTCATTCACAGACTCAGTGTAGACCATCCAGCCCCAATTCCGTCCAAATACTAGAGTAGAGTGGATAACTACGATTGGTTTGGTTCATTTGGGTTTTCATGGCGTTGTCGCCACTACACGTTCATTGGTTTTGACGAGAGAAAAATCGTTCACATGATGCTTGCCATTTGCCAATGGCAATCAGTCTAAAAATCAATGCTTTCACGTGGCCTCCTCAACTCGTTATCTTCGTTTCACGGACAGAATCGATCATGAACAGCTCGTCTCGTTGAATTCATCGTATGAATCAAATCAAATCAAATCAAATGAGAAATTGTGTGAGTGGAGACGAGCTAGCGATACAGTGAAGCAAACTGTAATGTCGGCTACTGCAAGTTCAAGAATGTGGAGCACTAGGAGGCGGCGGCGGCGGCGCGGCGGCGGTTGACGAAGGCGGTGACTTCGGTGAGCAGCCTCTTGCTGTCGGCGAGGTCGTCGAAGATGTAGAACGCGTGGATGGCGTCGGGGAACTCGGCGACGACGACCTCCTCGGCGCCGCCCGCGGCGCGGAGGGCGTCGGCGTAGTCGCGCTGCCTGTCCTGGTGCGCGTCCCACCCGCCGACGCAGACCATGGTCGGCGGGAACGCGCGGCGCCGCTCGGCGTCGCGCCGGAGCGCGGCGGGCACGTTGGCCGCCTCGTGGTCCCGCGTGGCGCCGGGTGGGAGGAACGCGCGCCACAGCCAGGATATCCGCTCCGGCGACCCGAACGGCGCGTCGCGGAGCCGCTGCTCGGAGGCGGTCGGCGTCTCGCCGGCGAAGAACGGCTGCAGCGCGATGAGCCCGGACACGCTGCTCGGCGTGCGGGCGACGACGTGGTGGGCGACGTTGCCGCCCGCGCTGTCGCCCGCCACGAAGACGGTGGCGGGCGGTGACGGGAGGGCGCCACCGGCGCCGGCGAGGACCCAGCGGAGTGCCGCCTTGCCGTCGTCGTAGGGCGCCGGGAAACCGTGCTCGGGCGCGAGGCGGAAGTCGACGGACGCGACGACCGCCGGGATGGCCGAGGCGAAGCGACGGCACAGCGCGTCGAACTGCGCGGACGCCACGGAGTGGAACACGAAGCCGCCGCCGTGGAAGTATACCACCACCGGCAGATGATCGCCGCCGCCATCCCTGGCAGCTGCCCCCGGAAAGAACATCCTGACGCGGAGGTCGTCGGACACGGCATGGTCCGAGGACGCCACGCCGGCGGCGTCGGGGGCCGGGTTGGGCGGCACGACGCGGTCGAACAGCGACAGGAGGAAGCGGTTGACGGTGCCGTCGCGGCGGAGCGACGCCGAGTGCAGAACGGAGACGGCGCCCACGAGCAGCCGCGCGCGCCACGGAAGCGGTGGTCTGTCGCTCGGCACCGCCGCCGCCGCCATCGCCGCCATGTCTCTCGCCTTCCGGGCGCGCCACGCGCACGGCGTGGCGAGGGATAAGGCGACACAAAGAAGGTGGCAAGTGTTTGTCGCGGTCTACCGCGTGGCCCGCGACGTCCAACCGCAGCGACGTGCGTGTGTCGCTGGAAATTTGGAGATTTGCAGCTTTCAAGCGACAACAACATGTGCTGATCCATCTTAAGGATGGTAAATTTTAATGAGGGATTACCTGAAAGTTAAACTTTCTATTAAAAAATCCTTTTCAAAATCTTCCAAATACAATCATATTGTAATTGTATTATACAATCACACTTGGCGCGCCGAGGGGGCGGTTGCTTGTCGTCTAGGCTAACCGGACGCCGCAGTTCAGGTACTTCGTGGTGGCCTCCCACAACTCCGGCTCCCTCTTGGAGTTCACAGCTCTTGCTTCCTTGTCCGGGCTGCCGCTCACCACCCATCCCCGTGCGATACCGTTTGCGCCAACCGCCCGCCGCCGCTCGACCTACGCGTGTGCCCGATGACGCGCGTGAGAGAGAGGGAGAGAGAGGGGGAGGGGAGGAGGTGAGAGAGTATGACAAGGGGACTCCACCATTTTTTTTAAAAAAAATACTGACTAGATTGTCATGCGTATGCCATATAGAATAAAATCGCTCGGGATTATGTCAAGGGGGATAATTCGTCCTGTATTGAAAGTTCAAGGTAAGCGCTGTCTGGTTTTCTGATTCAAGGATGTAATTTGTACCTTTTCCACTTCTAAAACCACTTTGATGGCTCTGGTGGCTAGTGCGTGCGGCTTGTTAATAAGAGATCAGGCTTCCATCCCTATGTAAACCTACTTGTGAGTAATACTCCCTCCGTCCCTAAATATAAGAAATTTGGTTGGATGTGACATAGCTCCTGTCCAGATTCGTCGTATTAGGATATGTCACATCCAACCAAAATATCTTATATTTAGAGACGAATGGAGTAGATCGGGGTTCCATCCCTATGTAAGCCTATTTGAGTTTTCACATGATTTTTCTCTCTCAAGCCCTTCATGAATCTTCAAGCACATCTGATGGTCAAAAAAAATGAAAAAGAATTCTCTTTTTTTTGTCGATAGAAATCTATAGTAAACCCGTTTAATAAATCACTAGTTGTTTTGTTATTTGGAGAAAATTGCAGGTTTCTTGGTGGATATTTCCTTTTTTTTTCCCCTGAAGTGGGCTCCGAATTAATAAGGGCCAAAAGGCTGTGAAGATGTTTGCACTGGGAACTGGTTGGATCATGGATGAAATATGTTGGGCTTCTGCCACATCTTGTCCAAATGAGGCTGGAACAAATATGATCCAGAAAAAGGATAATAGATCCATGTCAAATTGTTGGGCTTCGCGCCTGCATCAGATTGGTTTCTAGCCCAAACCCTCAAGAGTTCTGGCGAATTTGTTCAACAATTTTGTTCAGTCAATTTTGCTCCATCCCATTTCCCATTGCTGCTCTGAATCTTACCTCTTTTGGCACACTGAATTTCTTGCTCAACATTAGAGATGTCTCATACACTGCCCCTATTTTTTAAGATAAAGAAAGCTTTATCGATATCAGACGATTACAAGATGATATAATAATTACTCTAATATCACTCCTAACTTCTAACTTCTGTATGGTTAGGATGCGAACAACTTATAATTATTAGAAAATCAAAAGAAGACCGATATAACTTAAAAAATCATGCCATCCTCCCCCGAATAGTTCAGGTGATTGTGACCAAGACGGACTTGGTGTTCTTCTCTGGCGACTGCTCCTTGCCGGTTCATGCATGATGATGGCCCGTTAATTAGTCAGTCGATCAACAGCCGATCTACCAGTTGACCAGCTGTCAGAGCAGGAACAACAATAAAACATCGGAATTGCTAAAAATATGTCGCCAGTTTTTTTGGGCTGATTTTAGTCGGTGTCGCTAGCCGTACGATTGCTCCGTGAGTTTTCGATGGTCGTTGGATGTTTTCACGCACGGCGGCATTGCAGCAAGCCCTAATCTTCTTTATTGATTAGCGTTGAACGTTGCACTGATACCTTCTCTTATACAAGTTACACCACACTTACACACCACTTACATATGTAATTAGTATGTAATTTTAGTATTTACATATGTAATTTTAGGACTTACATATGTAATTCTATGTAATTCTAGGACTTACATTGTAAATACACTAAAATTACATATGTAATTTAGGGACTTACAATGTAAATACATGCCGACTATTTTTTGGTGAAAAATATGGCGCCATAAATATAGTTACTCCCTAAAACATTATCAAACAAAGTTTAATTTGTAGTCGCAAACTCGACTGCTAAATCCTACACCTTCTCCATCATCTCTAGCACCTTCGTCAATGAAGTCGGAGTTGCTCTCGCTCTCTATTAAATTATTCACTGTATCTTTTTTTTGAACTCAATTATTCACTGTATCTTAATTTTGGTATAGAGGGAGAAACCCGTACGACTGCCACTCGATCGAGATTTGACGGCTTGGATTGATAGGGCTCAACGCTCACTGGCCTTTGGATCTCAATCGGACGGTTCAAATTAAGTTCAGTTGACCCATTGCTGGGGGATATTTGTGTTATAGCCCTCTCATGATGTAGAAATGCCTTAAAGATCTCTAATCTTTTGAACGATAAATAATGCTGCGATAGTGGTGAACAGTACACTGAAGTACAGTACTTCCCTTGGACTATCTCATCAAAACATAATTCACTCAAAACTATCAATAACTTTAAATATAAAAAATCTAGAAAACAACTCATATGGATTTGTCTTTCAAAATTCTATAATAAAAGTAAACATGTATTTATTTATTGTATATATTGTAATATAAAAATAAGGTCAAACATATATTTTGAATACCATATCATTATCCAAAACATCAAGAATTATGAAACCGGAGGGAGTATTAATTTTGTGAAGCACTCTTAATTATTAACTAATAAAATTTTCCACTAATGATCGGACTGTACCACTTGCTAAATCCTAAGTTCATTTAGTGCCACTTCATCCGTTTCACAATGTAAGTCATTCTAACATTTTTCACGTTCATATTTATGCTAATGAATTTAGATATATTCATTAGCATCAATATGAATGTGGGAAATATTAGAATGACTTACATTCTGAAACGGAGGAATTACCAATGAAGCATTCTCAATTTGCTACTCCCTCCGTTTCACAATGTAAGTCATTCTATCATTTCTCACATTCATATTGTTGTTAATGAATCTAGACATATATATCTATCTAGATGCATTAACATCAATATGAATATGAGAAATACTAGAATGACTTACATTATGAAACGGAGGAGGAAGTAACTAATTCTACATTCCGATAAGAAAAAAAGGGGGCCCACTGCCCACATCCTCTCCACTGATGATCCGACACTTGACTAATTAAAACGATTTCTTCACAATTGTACCATTTAGATAGGTCACCCTAAGTATATAGTTTCAAACAAAAAAAAAAGGTCTTCCACCAACCAAGCTTGGGTGGCTTGCAAGTGCCAGGATCTATTGCAAATTTGCAAGTCAACCATCACCTACATATCTTTACACATGGTAGCCGACAGGGCGCCAATTCGTGCACTAGCTAGCTAGCTAGCAAACGATCGATGCACACGCCATGATGCACGATGATGATTTCTACATGGCCTAAACCCATGTGTTCACAGAGCGCGACAGTCATCGCCCGTCTTTTCTCACCAGCTTAAACTTTTTTCACGTGAATCGTCTTGGTACAACGAACACGACCAAATTAACGTCTTTCTTCTCTCTCTTCTTTTTTTTTATCACACCAATAGGGGTATAATGGCAGGTGAGCAAAATTTTGGCAATGATGAGCTTAATTAGCTCTGAATATCTCTGATCTGCACCATTCCAATGGCGGAGCGAAGGATATGAGGCCGAAGGAGGTGCCCTTGTCACTGTTATGATGATTGGCGACGGCAACGAGTCGTGTGAGCATCGCTATTTTGGTCGGTCCAGTGCCCGTTGGGCTCCATTACTTATCGATTATTAGTATCATTAAGCCGTCTTCGATAAAGCTCTCTGTTTATTTATCCTTTTATCCTTTTGTTTTTCAGCCTTCCAACTTGGTAGGGCACCACGCCTCCATCGATCGGCCGGGCGTGAAAGAGACGTACGTCAGATGGCCGTCACTACATCTTGTAAGGTACTTCTTCCGTCCCATAAAAAAATCTAATTCTGAATTTAAATCTGGACAAGAGTATATCTATATTCAAATCTAAGATTAGGTTTTTTATAAAAAAGAGGGAGTAGATGTTTTTCTAGGAAAAATATATGCTACGCTGATCAGAGAGGTAGAGAGAGTGGCAATATAGGGGCTTCTTTAGAAAGCAGGACTTTTGAGGCTGTCTTCGTTGATTTGGGTTTGGAACCCATATCCTGCTCACTGGAAATGGAGCGGTCCATTAGCGCGGGATTAATTAAGCGATAGCTTTTTTTTTTCAAAACTGGATGAATATAATTATTTTAAACAACTTTCGTATAGAAACTTTTTTGCAAAACATGCACTGTTTATCAGTTTGAAAAACGTGCATGGGAAAAGAGGGAGGTGAGTTGGAAAAACCAATGAAAGAAGTCAGCCCGAATATATAGACCTACTGTAGTACTACATTTGTCAAATCGTATAAAGTTCTTTTCATTCTGCCCTAGTTTTTTAAGCTTTTTTTTTACCAAATAACTGTTGCATATTATTTGCTCACAACTTATTGAAAGTATGATTTCTCACAACTTATTCTAAGATATTTATTAAAGTTTATTTCTTAAAATACTTATTTATCCTAAAAAGAATGCAATCCAAACATATAAATTTTGTCAAAAAAGTACTCTTTCTTTTTTTTCCTCCAACCGCTCTCCTCATTCAAAATTTCCCTATCTTACCCTAAACACACTCCTATTTCCAACATGCTCTGAGTTAATGAGGGGTATATAGGACATTTTCTTTTGTACTAATTTGTCTTTTTCTTAATATTGGGATTGTATTTTTTTTAGAATGAAGGGAGACATGTTTGGTAGGGCTCCAAATCTACTACTCCATCCGTCCTCTAATATAAGGGATTTTGATATTTTACTTGTATTGTTTGACCATTCGTTTTATTCAAAAAAATTTTAGAATTATTATTTATTTTTTTACTTACTTTATTATCCAAAGTACTTTAAGCATAATTTTTTGTTTTTTATATTTGCACAATTTTTTTTAATAATACGAGTGGTCAAACAGTGTAAATAAAATATTAAATTTTTTATATTATAGGACGGAGGGAGTACTCCCAAGCTAGAGTTGTGTAGCTTGAAAAAAATTAGCTTCATCCTTCGTATATATTTTTCTAGAGCAAATTCTTCCACTCCACTTAAGAAACTAACGATTTAATAATGTTTGGTTCCCCTAACACAGATCAGGTCTAGGAGCTATAGCCCCTGTGTGGCTGTGTGGCCTGATACTGGAAAAATCTTTTGTGAGGTGGTCGTCGGCTCGTCGCTAGCCGTTGATCGGATGGGCCATCACAATCGGATGGAAAATGTACAAGACCACAGAAGCAGGACACTGTATATACCTATCAGAGTATCAGGTCAATTGTTGAACATGGATGAAAAGGGCTAGATCAGCTAAAATACGTACTACTACATTACTGAAATTCAATTCTCATGAGAATTGCGTTTTTATTTTTGCACGATAAAGTTGACTTCATTTGGGATATTTAAGGTTGAAGCTATCGCTACATCGTCACCCAAAAAAAAAAATATATTATCACATCCATCGAAAAGCAAGTCAACCCAACGTCCCAACCCCAAACATCAACTATAATGCAAGTCGTTTTCTTGCAAAGAATGCAGTGGCATCATTGCATGGCTGCAGTTGCCGGTTGCACCGGTCAACCGGCCGGCCGGCCGGCGTCGTCGCACAGCACCGCCATTAATCCGCCGGCGCCGGCCACGCACGCACGGCCTCACACCGGTCGTCCGGCAGCCGGCCGCCACCGTCACCCGCACGACGTCGATCGATCGCCGTAGTATCTCAAGTTGTCAAATTGGCACAGTCACCTCACACATGAAACACATCCAAGCACCAATTAATTAACTCACTAATCAATCAGTCAGTCCCATTATTATCTAAAACAAAAATCAATCAGCCAGTCAGTCAGTCAGTCCATGGTGAGTCTCAGAAAATATCAGCCAGCAAAAACAGCCAGTTTGATAGGGAAATTAACCTGTGTTAATTAACCACAAGGTTCACAATCATGTGTGGTAACACTACTAGCTAGCCTGACCATGACCCTCTACCATCCAACAAGTGGGGAAAATCTTCATCAGTTCTAAAATATAAGGAATTCTGATCATAAAGGGAAAAAAATAATATACTGCAACAGGAGGGTGGTTAAGTTATAGTAACACAATACTCGAGCAGGGGTGAGAATTAATATTCTAAAATATTTATATTTTATGAGAAATTTTAAATGCTAGAAATAGTTGTATTAGGGATGGAGGATGTGCATGCATATTTTCCCTCTTTCCAGGGTGAAAAAGATTCTGATTTTTCAGTCAACTATTGACTGATCAAGGCACTATTAAATGACACAATGATCTACAGGGCATAGAATGGATAAACCTTTAGACTATTTAGGTCCCCTTTCATTTGTAAGAAATATATAGGAAACTTCAAGGATTTTATCCTAGAAGGAAATGTTGAAGGAATGCCTTTAAAACAACAGAGCGCACCTTAATTACCCTTTTCTTTGAATTCTCATGGAATGGTCAATTCTATAGGGGTTTTAGAGGAAAATTAACAAATTATTCAACCTATTAGAAAAAAAATCTTTTTGGGTCTATCTCTTTCATATGATTACTCTGTTTTTTCTACGGTTGATTTAAATGATCATTCATGTTTTTTTTGTGTGTTTTGTAATCTCTGTTTTACACTTCTGATCCTTTCCTATCAAAACACAGTGTCTTTTTTTATTCCTTCATCTTTTCAATCAAAGGAGCCCTCGATATGTAGAACAACAAATGAACTATTGAAAAGGAGTTATGTGGTTACTAGACCTTAACCCTTAGCCACTCAATATTCTGTTTTTGATCGTAATCCTCATGACAGATATGGGTGCCGTTGTTGGAGGAGATTCCTGGTGCATATGCCACCTCTGTCACCTTTGGACACGTAGCTGCTGTCATGTGGGCCCACATATATAGCATCAATCTCGCTCGAATCCATTTTGCAGCAACAGAGTACAGATTCTACTTAAGCAACATTCCCATTGACTCAAATGTGGCTAAGCATGAATGGTTCCCAAGATCTGAAGAACTGACAGATCAACTGCAAATTGGTGCAGTACAAGTTCTTCTTGCACAGACAGGAGCATCGCATCTTGACCACTCGTTATCTGTATGATCGGAATAAGATCAAGCTAGCTGTAGCTTAATAACAACAATTAACATGTGCATGAGCTTCGAAATGGCACTGTAATCTACAGAGAAAGAAACACCGTCAGAGATCTTGAACTCGAAGATTAAGAGCAAAGATGGCGACAATTAACGAATAGAACAGTGTCAGTTTCACATCCCAATCAGCTCCTATATGTATCGATCAAGGACAGGCCATTGTTAAGTGTAACCCCTATACACAAGGCAGGCATCTCTTAATCCCTTTTCTTCTCATTAACTAGGTAGATCATGGGCATCAGCATCACTGCAATAATGTCACCTTTTGCTTCATGACATATTCAGTTAATGTAAAGCCACAAATTTCAGCAATTTATGCATCCATGTTTTTCATATGCAAAGAAAACAAAAAACTCTATTGAGGATCTGGCACCTTCCTTATCTAAGAAAACAACCAGACAGAGTTCAAGTCTGATGAAGTCCATTATCTAAAAAATTCTGATGAAGTTGCACAATGTTGTAGGTATAAATGCCATGTCATGTAGGTCTAGTGGAGCAAGCACCTTAAAAGAGGAGTTTAAAAAAGATCAGAGAGTATATATTACTTAATTTTTTTCTACAACTAGATAAGAAAAATTTTCTCAAAAAAATAAAACTAGATACTACTTAAAAAAAAAAGGCATTACAAAAGAGAGGGCACTTGGGAACTTGACTCGATGCCACTTGTCAGTAGTACTTATGCGAGCCAAGGCCTTCACCAGCGGTATGAGCCGGCTGCTAGCTCATACGCGCTCGGCACAGTGCCGGCCACTGCCTGGGCGAGCATGCCTGTGAGAGGGCACCGCCTTGGTGAGCGTGCGAGTTAGCGCTTGAAGAAGAGCTAGCGCATCCTGTTCATCGCTTAAAAACCTCTATGAGCTAGCTAAGAGCTGCCCATTGGAGACAGCCTAATTGACCTTGTGCTTTGGCAACGTGATTTCTGCTTTCGCATCACTCGAGAAGGCTTCTTTTCAGAGTGGTTGGTAGTTAGTGGCGAAAGGCCAAGGTTATTATTTTTGGATCTAAGGTTTGCTTAATTAGTGGCCTAAGACGACCCGGCTGACGTGTGAAGGGCTCGGATGGAGACATGCTGAATTCGCCAATATCTGAAGATAGTGAACCTTGTTGGCTGATTGCGCTGTCCATGTGCTTAACTTAGTGTCACCCATCACAATTTTTTACTCCTATCTAGACCCAGTGATGTTATATCTACCGATGTGGCTGTTTACGGATCAGGATGCTCTGCAGTCGACTGCACCGCATGTCAATAATAAAAGCGCGGTGCAGTCGACTGCAGAGGATCTTAATCCATTGCTTTTAACATATATATTTTAAAAAATTATCGATGATCAGATTTAATATAAGAATTCCATACTTCTATTAAATATATAAGTGATGACTAAACATGGTTTTTTTGGGACATAATGTATTTATTCAACATCTGAAATTGTCTAGGAGGGACTTAGGTCACGTTATTATTGGACGTATCATGTATAATTGTTTGTAGAGATGAATCAAATATTATATGCCAGAGACCTAAAGTAACTTCAAGAAATCTAAAACAATGATGACGCGGAAAGCTTGTGAAGAAATCGTAGTTTGAGAATGGTAGTTATCTAAAAGTTGATAAACTTAGAAGAACCGGAGAAAAAGAATGAAATCGTCCAAAAGTCTTTTGAATTTTCATCTATAATTAAATTAAGAAAACAATATGGAACGTTTACCATTTTTTGATTAGGAGTAAATAGCAAATGTACACTATTATTGCCTTAGCAAAATGTTCATTGAAAACTATAATACATTATCCCCTTCGTCCCATTTTAAGTGTGGTTATGGATTTCTATATTTAACGTTTGACTGTTTATTTTATTTGAAATTTCTTTATGATTAGTATTTTTATACATGATTTTTTAATTTTTTTAAAATAAAACGATGGTTAAATGTTGAACACGGTAGGAGTACTAACTAACATAAGGTCATCTCATATAAGATTTTTTTTCTGACAAGAAAAAAAAAGAAACAAATGCCATGGAGAATAATCACATTAAACCAATATAAATTCCCTTCCTTAATTTTGATTGAGATGTGACTGGAAAGGTGTGTCAGTGCAGGCACCAAAACACGACAACCATCTCCTTCCTCACACCAAAACAAAACCGGGCCAAGACGGCTCCATGACCTTAATTTACCTATATAAACCCAGGCCACGTCAGCACCCCCGCCCCACCACGTAGGCCATCCAACGTGGCTAACGGACGGCCGCGACGTCGCCAGCGTGGCACGGATCGCCCGCGCCGCCCCCCCCCCCCCCCCCCCCCCGGCCCACACCGCTTATCGACAAAAACAAACGGCCTCGCTTCTGCCACGTCGCTCTCCCCGATGCGTTCTTATCCCCACGATTCATCCCACTGCATCCCCCGCGCCCTCCTCTCCTCTTCGTCTTCCTCCTCGCTTCGCTTCGACTGCTTCGATCGAGGAGATCGAGGTTGCGATGCCGGATTCGGACAACGAGTCAGGGGGGCCGAGCAACGCGGGGGAGTACGCGTCGGCGAGGGAGCAGGACAGGTTCCTGCCGATCGCGAACGTGAGCAGGATCATGAAGAGGGCGCTCCCGGCGAACGCCAAGATCAGCAAGGACGCCAAGGAGACGGTGCAGGAGTGCGTCTCGGAGTTCATCTCCTTCATCACCGGCGAGGCCTCCGACAAGTGCCAGCGGGAGAAGCGCAAGACCATCAACGGCGACGACCTCCTCTGGGCGATGACCACGCTCGGCTTCGAGGACTACATCGACCCGCTCAAGCTCTACCTCCACAAGTTCCGCGAGCTCGAGGGCGAGAAGGCCATCGGCGCCGCCGGCAGCGGCGGCGGTGGCGCCGCCTCCTCCGGCGGCTCCGGCTCCGGCTCCGGCTCGCACCACCACCAGGATGCTTCCCGGAACAATGGCGGATACGGCATGTACGGCGGCGGCGGCGGCATGATCATGATGATGGGACAGCCTATGTACGGCTCGCCGCCGGCGTCGTCAGCTGGGTACGCGCAGCCGCCGCCGCCCCACCACCACCACCACCAGATGGTGATGGGAGGGAAAGGTGCGTATGGCCATGGCGGCGGCGGCGGCGGCGGGCCCTCCCCGTCGTCGGGATACGGCCGGCAAGACAGGCTATGAGCTTGCTTTCTTGGTTGGTGTTTTGGTAATTAATTAATCAGAGGACATGTCGGGTTAATTAATCTTAATCTCTGTTTTTTCACTCTTTTTTTTTACCTTTCTTTCTCTCTCTTTTATCTTTCCTTTTCTCAATGTGCTAAAATGAGTCAATTATATGGCTAAATTCTCTACTAATTCGCTTCCATTGACTTCTTCTTAAATTCTCCTAATAATGATCCCATGGTTCATTTGTTTGGGCTGCTAAGATGATTAAACAAGCTTAATTAGTTAATTTGGGTGACTTTTCTTGATGGTGCAGTTTATTTTGGCATGGTACTGATGAGTAGGTATCCATGATGTTCTGTGGTGACCAAACAGACGATGGATGCTTTTTTTTTCTCCATCATTATTTCTCCCAATTTTGTTTTTTTGCTTGGTTATAATTGATATTAGTAGAATGCTTGATTGGTGCTATATATATGCTGTTTTGGATTCCTCTGGAATTCAGAGTGTCGGCTGTGTGATCTCAGGTGTCGGCACAGATAACCTTTGGAAAATGAATAAATAAATTTTACTACCTAGTACTATCTTCTACTGCTAATATACAGTATTAGTGACTAGTGAGAGCATAAAATAAAATATCCAGAGAGGCTAGAGGCTACCTGCATGCACATCCTTAATGCGCAAGCAATGACATGACATCCAAATTGCTGATCTGTGATCAGTCACCACCTGACCCTCTACATATACTTTATGCAGTGCTAACATAAAAGTTTAATGCTGCTTAATTAAGCACTTATATATATAATTCTCAAGCTAGGTGTCACCATGCAGTATGTTTTCTTTGCTTTTCTTGTTGCTGTATATCCTCCCTGTCATAGCATGGCATGAATCAGCTTATCAGCAAGTAAGTATAGAGTAGTAAGTAGTTAGTTGCACTTAGCTTTCATCAGTCACAGACAAGTAGGCAGCAGGAAAGGGCCAGGCAAAAAGGCAGGGAGGATAAGGATGGATGAAGCCTGAATTGAGTGAGCACTAGTGTGTGTGATATGTGTACTGTGGAAGTTTCTTCCACTGGGCTTTTGGGGGCAGGGTCAAGTGAGGCTGGATTCCATTGGCCAGGGAAAGATCTCCCCGGTCTAATTGGATGACAGGTACAGTACCTGTATGTAATAGTGCTTGCTTGCTTGTACTGGCAGCATCTGGGGCTTGTTTTGAGTCAGATCTGAGCAAGGGCTTCTACCTATGGACGAAAACGGTCGGAAACAATATTATTTTTTTTCGAGAAGTCCGAAACGGTCAAGAAATATATGTATTTATGAATTTTACTATTTAGTGTTGATTTCAACGCAACATTGATAGAAGTTAGAAAAACTAAATTTTAGAAACTGTAATAGTCGATAAAAATATTATTATTGTATTATTTACAGGAAAGGTATCGGTACGGTCGGGAAATTTTCATAATGTTTTCACCCCTACCTTTACCTGACTGCCACCACCTACCTATATCTTGATGTTGCTCTTGCAAGAGCAATTTTCGCTTGCCCACCTTTTTTTTGAATCTGGACATGTGCATATTTGTAATTATAATTAAAATTCTTTGTATTTAGAGGTAGAAGAAGTACAAAGCAAAGGAAAAATCCGAGACTTTCTACAACTACAAGCAAGCATGCTTGAGTTGATCCAGGGAGAAAATTAAGAGAAGTGATATACATATATACTTGAACAATTTCTTGCAAACAAAGATCTTGACAGTTCGATTTAGTTAGTTGAAAGTGTAATAAAGAAAATCAGGATTTTACTTACAGTGTGTGATACATCAACATCTAAAACATTTGCAAATTTTCTTTGTACACGTATATCTTTTCCCCCGAAAATTAAGGGGGTTGCGGTTTACCATAAGAAAAATAAATGGACAGGTCAACCACTATATATATGAACAGTACACGGCAGACCATTTTGATGGCGACGACGACGTCGATCGATATCATTTTCAGCCTTCTGTAACAGTGTAATTTGACGAGATATTCAAGAGAGGACTAGCTAGCTAGATAACTGCATCGATCATCAGCAGTGGCAGATGCTAGTAGCAAAGGAGCACAACAAAGTAAGTACTATAGATCAGTGGCCGGTGCCTTTGAGTTGGTTGACCACTGCACGGCCTCGATCCAGCGCAGAAAAACACCAGCTGCTCCGGTGCTATATAGCAGCCTGGTGCTAGCTAGTGCTCAATTCATCCAGCCAACGATAACGTTAGCTTGCACGTAATGGAACACCGGAGGAAATTCTCCACCAACCGACTGTCGTTTCGCAAAAGTAGTACCATCTCCGATTCTAAACAATTCTCGTAATCGTCGACCCCTTGCCAATTGATTCTGACTTGTTTTATCGAGAGCAGAGGCGAATTGTGCAAAGGCTTGTAACTCGGAAAATGCTACGTGATGATATCCCGTTTGAACGTGATACCTCAGAAATATTGTCCAATATTTGGGTATCAGCCGATACCTATCAAGTATCAGCGATACCTCAGACGTATTATCCCGTCTGAACGGGGTATATTGGCCGATATCTCAGAGGTATTATACTGTCCTAACGGTATACCGTCATGTAGTATTTTTCTAAACTGAGGAATGCTAACTTTATTTTTTTTTAAAAAAAAATCTATCGGTGTCATATTGATATTGTCCCTAAATAACTAGTAGATTAGTACATACGGAAAATTCCCAATCAACCAAGAACTACTTTTATAGACATGATGCCGTTTTCACTCGTTTTTATCTTCTAGTGTATTTAAGTTTGATCATCATATTTTGACTTGATGCAAAGACCAAGGATAACAAATGTACATATATATCATCTCCCAGGTCAACGGTCCAGCATGCATGCATGACGATCGCGGCAGAACCAACTATCTTGTAGTCAACTATAAATGCTATTAATTTCGCATGCATATGCAACAGGCTTCTGCGCGCGGAGTGCTCCCATTTCGCGTGCGAATTGAAACGGCCAGCACGTCGGACGAGATCGATCGAGATGCAACGGCTTGCCGACTACGAATGTAACGTTCAAATTTGAAAATTCGGTTTTTTGAAATATGATGATGGAACTAGCTAGAATGGAGGGAGTATTAGCTTGCAGTTGTGTGATTGCATCTAGCTAGGTAGCGCCAGCGGTCGTATCACTCGATCACGGCCTGGGTGGTGGACGAAGCATATAATACTCGATCGCATACGGCAAAATGGGCAGCGCACCACATCGATCGATCGATCAAATCAAATGAAATGCTCGGTGCATATGCAGTGGTTGCACGAACAATATGCAAAATGATCGAATGCGTATGTGGAGAGCTAGCTAGGCCAGCCAAACTTGGATGGATGCATGCAAATGCAAATGCAACGGATACGTCTGGGTGGCTGCATTCATGCATCCATATTATCAGTGGCCGACCGATGATATTTACTCGACCGAACTAAAACACGTCGCGCCTCGATCGATGGAGGTCAACGAACGAAGAACCGCGAAAAGCTGCATGCAAATTAAGGTAGTGGCATATGCCATCGAGCTTCCCTTAGGGTGCGTTTGGATCCAAGAGCCTAGCCTGTCCTGGCAAGGCCGGTCGTTTGGAATCAGAAAAAATTCCTAGTTCCCTGTAGCCAGGAACCCAAGGAAGAAACAAAAAGGAAAAACCAGAGGAGGTGCATCGCATCGTCACGCGTCACACACGGGTCGTATATGTATCGCGTATCGCATCCATGGACAATGCGGAGATGAGTAGTACCACATCGACGATTCAAGCAGGGAGGGGCACACTACAAGAGGCCGTGTGGTTACACGGTACCACTCATATCTTTTTCGGCCTTTTCACTAAGATCAAATGTAGTACTCCTCCTTTTAATTAAAAGTCTAAGACCTATTTCATTTGTTGGTTTTTCCAAAAGTCTAAGTCCTATCTGTAGTCACTGTGCTATATTAAATTTTTTATCGGAAACCAAGAAGTCATTTTAGTATTTATTGTTTGCATGTTCATTGGTTTTATCACATGATGAATGAGTTAACTACACTTGGTTTTGGTGAAAAATAAATAGGATTTAGACTTTTAGAAAGAGGGAGCATATGTTCTTATCGGTACATGTGAGCTACTCCCTCCGTCTAAAAAAACCTAACCTATAATAGGTTAGGTTTTTTTTAAGACGGAGAGAGCATATGCTTACTTCGGTTTTTTTTTTTTGAGAGGGAGCGTCCTCTAGTGTCATTTAAGCATTGCGCTACAGCCTAAGCGTGGTGCACCCCAACTAAAACAATTCTCTTAACATTGTTTGCGATCATAATATATAGAAATCTGGCCTCTATACATACAGCCAAATATTACCTAAACTTGAAGCCTCGTAATTGAGGAATACAACAAAACAAAAATGAAAGGTAGTAAACTAAGAATACTAAGCTTCAATATTTGTTTTATGTTCATGCTTCAACCTTGCTTTATTTAGTGGTAACCCATTACATCGTCCGTTTACAAACTTTGATGCCAGAACCATCTTGCTATTAAACGGCTAGTATATATTGGGCCTGCCCGATAGGCCTAAATGTGGCGGCAATACAGCCAGCCGCTACCAATCTCTACAGCATCGACAACAGCTGCAGCAGTACGACAACCGAACAGGCCCATTTCTTGCCGGGCACTGCCGTGCAGAAACCACATGAAGCAACAGGTCCACCCGCTCTATGACATGGTTTTTCGCCATCCTTCATTAATCAGCAATCAACGTATTATCCTTCTGAGAAGTTTGAATTTTAGTGCTGTGGTTGGTTAATCTCCTAGATTATAACACCCAGATTTCCCAAAAAGAGATTAAAAGAACCAGATAATAAACATGGAACTTATAAAAACATTGCAACCAACTCTTCAAAGGCTTGTTTAGATTACACGTGATGATGTGGTTCTTGCAGTACCCGCAGCAGAAATTGATGGTTTCTTCCATCTCATCAGAAGGGAAAACTGCAGATATCTTAATCACAGGTTCAAATCTTTCGACATATTTCTTCACAGAAGCTTGGGGATCGCAGGTGGCAGGCAATTTGGGGATCCCATGACCTGGTTCAGGATAAACAGAGGTGGTGGTTACAGGATGGCAACAAAATAAAATATACAATTGAACCAGAAATAATTTATAATTGAATGGGAACTCTGGTTAGAGCTACATTTCCGTATGATAACCAAACAATTCTACCATTTCCAATGGAGAAAGCCTTGTGAAGAAAATATTAATATGGCTCCTGTGTCAACCAAATTCA